GGACACTTCGGCGGAAATTCAATCTCCAGTACTGAGGCATCACTTAAAATACAGAGCTAGAATGGTGTTAAAGGTATAGTGGAGGATGTTTTTTTTCCATGTGGATCATCAAAATAAGTGGTCCTCCTAATTGTCAATCATTCTGGTGATATGTTTACGTAAGGATTTCCTACGTGCTCGTCACCATTTTCACTGACCGGTGGTGAGTCTGACATAGCGGGAAAATTGCAAATCTTTTGGAAAGTAAGCTTGTATGAGTGATGCAAACAGAGACTTTTTAACAGAGCGTGCACAAGGAGAAATGGGCTCGTGCACGCTCTCGCACGTGTTTATTTGGCATTCCTTCTTGGAAGCAGGTACAGGGTTGTGCATGTGCACTTTTTTTGGAGAGGGCGGGTCTTTTGAAAAATTTGTGAAAATCCTCCACTATATGTACCTTTAAGTAAGGCTAAACGATTTTGCCAAAAGATAAACATTGTGATTATTTTCAACCAACATCGCGACTGGGATTTAATTAAGATGTTCCTTTGCACCAACCACACACTTGTTGATTTGTTTTCACTTCAGGGTTTCAGTTTCTACATGACCTTGAAAGCTTACCTGTCCAGAATCTATTGTTGCAAGAATTTACTGTAACTTTGCGTGAAGAAAATGCTTACTTCTATTTGATTGCATGAATCTGGATGCCAGCTGATACTCTGTCTGCCTTTTTGTGTGGTGGAAAACCCGCTTTAAGTGTACTGTATCACTGCCAATTTATTTTTAAAAAATGCATTCTGTTAAATTGTAATTCTATTGTAAATGCAATTAAATGTTCAGCCCTTGCTTTAGATTAGATTAGATTAGATTAGATTCAACTTTATTGTCATTACACATGTACAGGTACAAGGTAACGACATGCAGTTTAGGTCTAACCAGAAGTGCAAAAGCAGCAAGTGCAGGATAAATAATGGTTCCATAAATACAGGACATGGGTTTTCTACTGAATAGAGTATAGAGATGAATACTATTATGAATAATGAATATAATATATAGATCACTAGTGTTATGAAATAAATTTACAGCTGGATATGTGCCGAATATAATATACAGGTGGATATTACTATAAAAAAAAGTATTTTACATTTATGTACAATAGCATAATATACAGATGGGTTTTACTATAAAATGAATAAATAAAGTTTGGACAGAAGCTATCTAAATTAAAGTGCAGTGAAAGGTAATTGCATATTAAAGTTAAAGTACGTTATTGCAATTGTATATGGAATATTCCTGGTATGAAGCCAGCTTTTAAAGTACCGGTAAAGACCTAAAACTGACAGATAATCTAGTGCTGTACCAACCAAATACATTGACACAATCAGAGCTATTTTTCAAAGATAAAATGACACAGATTTAAATCTGAAATTGTATAATACAGACTTATTTCTGATTAGAGATTTAGATATTTTGTGCCATTCTTCACAAATTAAAAAAATTGGCCACCATATGTTTTACTATGCAATGGAACCCTGATTAAATGCAATGAAGTTAGTGGGGATTTGACAAGACAAGTTCCAAAGTTATCAAGATGTTTGAAAGGCATATTCAGCTTTAATCTTCTTTTTTAAAAATGGAAACCTCCCTTTATGTGGTATTTATAAGGGTACAGATTACTATGTGATCCTTGGATAGGAAAACCTAACCTAACAACATATCCATGGACTGTGAGCGATGAGACAGGTTAGTTTTAGATACAATCAGCTTGATCAGCGACATTGTTTCTATCAGTGTCAGATACATCGAGCAGATAAACAGCGCTGATGTGAAATGTTGAGCTGGAGGCAGACAATTGTTGCTGGTCAGAGTCAGACAGAGTACATGCTGTCTTCACTTGTTTGATTTTTACCTCAAAAACTTGGCAGTGCATTTAACTACTATATAAAATGCAACAAAAACATGATTGAAAGAATAATGTTTAGCTGACAGGAAGTGGCATTTATCAAGTAAAAATCAACACAGTCAGCACAGGGGAACAGAGCACGGGGCAGCAGTTCCATCTGATTAAATGCATTGTAAAGCGAGTAAGATGAGATCAATGAACCTGGCGGTTTCACCTCAATCCTTTAAGGTCCAACTTCTTTCCGCTGATCGTCCTTCTTTCTTCGCCTGTGTCCCAAGTGTACACCACCGTGAAATCCTGTTGCTGTACAAGAGCATTTTCCCAGCAATTGCCTCGGGTCCCTCATGGAGTATTCGTCTTTCTGTGTGATCCCTGCGGTGGAGGGATCATCCTCTCCAAGGTCTGCCTGTGGGAGACGCCATTTGAATGTGGAACACTTAATAGTCTTAGTTAAACAGAATAATCCTGTGATTAGTGGCTGAGCATAGTGGGTCTGCTTCTCACTGCACTTGAGGCTAACTGCAACACTGCTGTGATGAAGGTTTAAATGGCTGCAGGGCTCTGAAAAGTTCCACTTCATTCTGTACTAAAGGCCCCTGATCAACAATGCATCTACCAAATAAATTATAAAGTCATCAAGACATTAAGGTCATGTTTTTAGTCAGTCGAACATTGTAAAAAGGTAAGGTAATAAATCTTTATAGGTCAACCTACTGTTTAATTATATCACTGTATTGTTGTATAAATTAGGACATTGTGAGGAATGTACAATCCCAAGCCTATTGTTTTTAAGGCGGCACAGAAATGCATAAGACAAAAAGTAAACAAAGAAACAGTTTCTTTTCAAATACATTAAGAGGGTCATTTTTATTAAAATTTGATGTTGTTCCAATGAAAAATATTTAATTTTGGCTTTAAAATGTCAATCTTCCGTTACTTAAAATTAAAAACCTTTCCAATGGGAAAAAAGTAACTGAAGTAATTAGTTGTTAAATAAATCAGGAATATTTTTTAACTTTGTATGTATGTCTGTTCCAGCACATATCATCATTAAAATATATTTTAGTATCGTCTTCAGTACAGGGATCATAGCAGGGGCCACAAACAGTTCAGTTCTACAGGGGCACTGGCCCCTGGTGGCCCCTGTTTATAACTGCTTATTCTGACTCATTTATTAAAATTCAAAACTGTGATTGAGGTTATAACAACTATTGAATAATAAGTCATATTCATTTCAATTTGATGATTTACACTGAATTTCAAAAGACATGGGTTGGAAATACATCATTTGGATTTTAAAACTCATACAGTAGATATGATTTTAATGATGGAATCTCATAATCACCTTTTCGAACATTATAACTTTTAATCCAAACAATCAATTTCATAAGACTTCAGAAACCATGATTATAACCTTAATAACTCACAATTATGACTTTGAAACTATTAAACAGAGGTGGCTAGTAAATAGTTAAATTTACTTCAGTACGTTTTGGGAAAAAAAATTGCTATTGGGAGTCATTTTATAGGATTCTACTTTCTTCTTTTATTTCAGTATAAATATGAAAAAGTATCACTACTTTTACTTGATTAGTAAGCGATTCACTGAATAAAAACAAGCTTGTTTTAAACAAATATGCACAACTGAGAGACACACTTTCTTCTTTTTTTAACTCAATGCTTATTGATTAAATGTTTTTTTTTTCCCATTTGCTGAGTATGTCACGTAATTTGGATGTCTAGTGAAAATACAGTAAACAGTTTACTATGATTTAACCAATTCTATATACTGCAATTATTGATTTTATAACTCAAAAAATGTACTTGAAACTTATTTAATCCACCTCCATTTGTTATTATATGATTAATGTATGTACTGCATGCTTTTATTTATCTTTATCCAATTCTTTGAAAGACCAGAATTTGTATATAATTTTATATTTTATTTAATTTTATAAAACATAAAATCAGTTTTTATCACAATAGGTAATCAGTACTTCAGGAGCATATTTAAGCAAATGATTTTGACTGAAAGTCGAAAATATGATTTTGTTTCTCATAATTCTGACTTTGAAAGTCGAAATTTTGATTTTGTTTCTCATAATTAAGACTTTGAAAGTTGAAATTCTGACTTTCAATGTTGAAATTATGACTTTGTTTCTCATAATCCTGACTGAAAGTCAGAATTAGGACTTATATCACAGAATTATCTCATAATTATTACTGAAAGTCAGAGTTAGTATCTCATAATTATGACTTTGTTTCTTATAATTCTAACTTTGAAAGTTGAAATGATGACTTTGTTTCTCATAATTCTGACTTTGTATCTCCTAATTGTCACTTTGAAATTATGACATTGAATCTCATAATTATGATTTTCTTTTTGACTTTTTTCACTTTCATGTGGCAGAAACGGGCTTCCATAGCCTACTACAAATAAACAAGTTTTGAAATATTGTTTTCAATCATGATTTAAAATTTGATTCTTTTTTTCAGGTGGCAAAAATAGACTTCGGTATCGATTAGCTTAATGCCAAAACGTTTACTAAATCAGAATATTTTTAAAAATGTAGACCTTCATAATTCATAAGGTATTAACTTAGTAGCGGCTAACATGAAAGTCAGTCATTTTCGCGCCATGGCGCCTGGGATGCAAAACCAGATAGCAGCTTTAGCTCTCCTGACTTCATTACCGGCTATTTCTATTAAACAGGTGATATTATTCTGAATGTTAACCGTGTTTCCCTGTACCTACGAGTCTCACTATGTGGCGTTATTAACCCTTAAAGCGAATAACCTCTAATGTTTCATGAAGAGTTTAGTTTAGTTAATGTTGCTAGCTTATTTTAACGGTGGAACTCCTGATGCTGCGTAGCTAACTTTTTAAAGTTATTCAAACTCGTTAGCTTTAATGTCATTAAATTATTCAGACGCAGTTATATAATCGGGGATAATGATGGTGAGAAACACAAGCAGCGACAACAGGTATTCATGTACCCGCAAGTCCCGTCGTTTGATGACAGCGCAGCAGCATCGGCCGGTAACCCGCAGCCATCCGGCCTCCACCGCGGGCTGCTTCACCGGCCTGCCCGCTGAGGTGCTCCACATGATTCTGGATCAATTAAGCAGTGGGTATAACACTCTAAACCCATGATAGTAATACCTAACATTTATTCAATGCGTGATAAAATGTATTAAGGCGTTAAAATAAATAAATGTTGATGTAATAATGTAAAACTTTAGAGCACATTCTTTGAAAACACAGCCATAGCCTACAGGTGCATTTAACTTGAGTTGCTACGTGATCACAAATGTGTTATATGGCAGGAATTT